ATTAATATATATATATATATATATATATATATATATATATATATATATATATATATATATATATATATATATATATATATATATACATACATATACATACAATATAATACTATATTATAACAAAACAGTATTAAAAACAAAAATATATGCGTGTATGTGTGCGACACGCATACTAAGCACACCAAAGCTCGCATTTTTACTTATACGCACCCCAAATGTGCCATATACCATGGGGTTGACGTTTAATTAAATATCCGCGTAAGACATACCAAGTACACCGGAGCTTGTGCCATTTCTTTAAGGTCGGCAAAGTACGCCACGAAGGGGTCACGAGTGTTCAGAGGAGCAACGGACACCGTTTGATGACTGCCGAATAGCTGGAGGTGTTGCGAGAAGGTGGTAGTGGCGAATAGGTATGAGGGTAGTATCTTTGGTATCAGTCTGTATTGACATTCAAGTCTGTAGATATATCCAGATTATATATATATATATATATATGTATATATATAATATATATAAATATATATATACTTATATATATATATACATACATACATACATACATACATACATACATACATATTCATATATATATATATATATATATATATATATATATATATATATATATATATATATATACACACACACACACACACACACACACACATATATATATATATATACGTACACACCTCCATACACTTGTAAGGCATGGCCTGGGCGCCCTCATCGCACGTGGCCATCACAAAAAGCTGACTAGCGGGTGGGGCATCTCGTAGCATCGTCTGCAGCGGTTGAATGTTAATATGCGTCAAATGAGTAGAAAGTCCTCCATAGCACAGGCGATTGCTATTGATAGTAAAAGTGGGTACCAATAGACTATGTCTGTCTTATCCTCTATGAATGGTATACTATGCCGGGCTGAAACAAGATGATGGCTATGCTGGCAGGAGGTCGTAAGGGCGGGACTACACCACACGCCATGTAATGTTAGCAATAAATCCAAGAAACATATAGATCCTACCATGAACACCTGCTTGAGCACCGGAGTGGCCCATTCCCACCAGCGGTTGATGTTCGGTACATACAGAAGGGCCTGCTGCGCCCGGTAGGCTTCCCTGAAGGTATTGATACATGCCTGAACAACCAACGGATGCAAAGTGGTGAGGATGAGGAGGGTATCAAATTCACAGTAGTGATGTGGTACCTACATTGAGAGTCCTTGCACGTTAAACAGGCAGTCCCTATGGAGGTGTGGTTAGCCGCCTGGTCAATCACACATGTGCAGAGATAACGATAAGGCCAAAGAGAGACATTGCAAGGATGTAGTGTTCTGGATGTGATGGTGTCAAAACTTTTGACTCGGGTTGTTCGCTTTATCAAGTGCCCCATACACACCTGAGAAGTCAACGAATGGCTATAGAAACAGGCGAGTAGGTGCAGTGAGAGGAAGTACTTAAGGTGCTTGTGGTATGAGAACTTGATCAGCTGGTTTCAAAGTGAGATGAAGTACTTAAGGTACTTGTGGTATGAGAACTTGATCAGCTGGTTTCCATAGAAGTGTCAGGACACACCGACAGGGTAACACACGCGAAAGGATATGCAGGCGAGCGAGTGTGCAAACATCACAGTACTCTGGTACTCGGTGCAAACACTTTATTTCATAGGCGTGCATACACGCATAAAAACCGACGATGGAATGTGTGAAGATATACAGGTAGAGGAGTAGAATTTTGAGCGTGCAATTAGATGAACAGATATGTAAAATATTGAGTACAACAAGACACGTACATAAAACATACAGACAGCCAGATGTATGTCCGATCTGCCTAAACTCGTAATCACAATTCGATTAAACATCCACAAATAACCATACATAAAAATATACATATACATATACAAATGCATATACATATACATATATATAAACAAACACACACACACACACACACACACACACACACATATATATATATACATATACATACATACATACATACATACATGCATCCACACACACACACACACATATATATATATATATAAATATAAATTTAAATATATATACATATAAATATATATACATACATATACATATACATATATACACTTACTACCTACACAGCCAAAATATATTCGGAGACACCGCACAACCATACCTCTTCAGGTGTCGCATATGTGCCAGCCCCAGCACCCCCAATAGACAGCAGGGACTGGATGCCCAGATTATACACAGGCTCTATCTCCAGCTCATACATCACAGCCGGTGCAAGATACTTCGTCTGGCCCATACCCCTGAGCAAAACGTTGATATAAAACAATAGGGCGCATGAGAATGTGGGTATATATATATATATATATATATATTTATGTTTAGATACTAGCAATAGACAAGGTACTATCGGGTAGATACGATAGACACTTACTTCTTCACACACAAGCGATAGAGAATGTCTCCGTAGTGTGCCTATATCGTGTACTTACTCAGTGCCGGTGATAAGCAAGCGGCGATTGGTGCGATCGACAACGGCACTCCACAGGGGATGTCCTGAATGCACTGAAATGGGCATTTGGGCCTTTTTGACCTCTTTGTGGATAGACTGCACCAGTCCACTTAACAGCGGTCGCAAATCGTTCGGCACAGCCCTAAACGTTAGATAATAAAATTCATATAATTGGTAAGTATATGGAATATACATGCAGGTATGCACGTTAGATAATAGTATTCATATAATTGGTGAATATATGGTATATACATGCAGGTATGTACGTTAGATAATAGTATTCATATAATTAGTGAATATACGGTATTTACATGCAGGTATGTACGTTAGATATTAGTATTCATATAAATGGTGAATATATGGTATATACAAGCAGGTATGTATGTTCGATAATAGTTTAGTGAATATATGGTATAAACATGCAGGTATGTACGTTAGAATAGTATTAATATAATTGGTGGATATATGGTATATACATGCATGTATGTACGAGAGGTATGAAGATAATGAATGGGGAATTGCACATTTTTTTCTCGATCTCTCTGTAGACATGCCTGAAACAGTTCACTTAATAGCGCCCACAAACAAATCAACGCAGTCCCAAAAGACAGAATAAGGGGTTCTATATATATCATCGATGAATGTATTGTATACATGTGTAGGTAAATACTCTGCATAGGGAGATGTAAAGAATGAATAGAGTTGCCCTTATGCCTGTCAACCTGTCTGTGGGTGAGATGAATTAGTTTGCACAACAGTGGTCGCAAATCAATCGACGCGCCATACAAGATGTAATGATGTAATACAAAGCTACGCGAGTT